CCCCAGAGTGGCACGACTAGAAGGGGATGGGACCTTTAAGTTAGGAGGCTTGGGGCTGGGGATGGAGCTCAGTTGTAGAGCACTGGCCTGGCAGACACAAGGTTCCTGGATCCAGCAAAACAAACAAAAAGACACGGGGGCTCCTAAGGGGTCTAAAGTGGTATGTTCTAGAAGGGGAATTGGGACCCCAAGCTTTTCCCTTTCTCGGAAGGGTCTCTGAGGACTGAACCCAGATATTTTTCATTTTGAGACAAACTCTTACTCAGTTGGCAAGGCTGGCTTTGGACTCCTGAGGAGCTGGACCTGGCTTCTTCCTTCTCTTTTTTATTTTTGCTTTCCAACTACAAGGTAAGCAATTTTGCTACACTATGCACTTCTGCTATGATGTGCTTCCTTGCCCCAGGCCCCAAGCAACAGACCCAATAGATCACAGACTGAACCTCCAAATCTGTGACCCAAAGTAACCCTTTTATCTTTATAAGTTGATGGTCTCAGGTGTTCCTTATAGTAATGGAAAGCTGACTGGCAGTCACAATCCTGCCATGATGCCATTCAACCCACATGATCCTATTCAGCAGGTAACAGATGTCTGTACACAAGACAAAATGCACCTGTGGGTCTCTGATGGAGGGAAGGGTACACTGACTTATTTTCCAGGCCAACAGGTAAGCCAGGTAAGCTTTGGGTAACAAAGCACTCGGTGTCTGGGTTTTTCTCATCTGGAGACTACAACAGTTCCTTCCCAATAAGGCTTCTGTGACCATCTAATGATTTCATTAAAACACCCAGTTCCTGGGACAGTGTGGCCCAGAGGAGGCTCCAACAAGAACACACCATCGCACCCTAGGGCCAGTGTGTTTTCACGGAACCTCCGTGTTTTCCTAAAATGTACCCCTACTCCTTTCATTACAAGAGAAGACAAGAAAAACACAAGATTTGAATAAAATGATCACTTAGGGCAATCCACTAACCAAGAGCAGAAATACACCCAAAGTGTGCCCAAATCAGCCTCTTCTCAATACTCTGAGAGGGGTTCTCCAGAAGCATAGGTAGAAAATCTAAAATGCTAACCCAGATGGACATTCATTTTAGTCCATTAATAGACATTTTACAAGGAAATACAGCTAGTAAATAGAGGTATGGGAAAACATTCAACCTCGTTAGTTAAAAAAAAAATTAAAATATATGAACTGTTTTCAGCTATTAAATTAACCAGAAAAAAAATGTTTTTTAAAGAGATTACTTAATGCTGCCAAGACTAAAATAAAGTCCCAGTTTTCATGCCTTGCCAGGGAGAGCAGGCTGGTGCTGAGCTTCAGCAAAACAAGGGGCCCGTCTGTGTGCGAGCCAGAGAGGGGCGCCACCCTTCAGCCCAGCGATGTCACTTCTGAGAATCCAGCCCACAGCAGTTTCTCAAACAGGGGAAAAGGCACGGCCAGCCTCATGCTCACAGTGAGCACCATTTCCAACAGTGGACGACAGCATGGGGCTAATTTGAGGGCTGGGGTGTGGCTCCGTGGGAGAGCTCTTGCCTAGATGTGAGCATAGGCCCTGGATTCCATCCCAACACTGCGTGCGCGTGCGCGCGCACACACACACACACACACACACACACGCTGTATAATAAATGAGAATATAAGAATAAGAGATAAGCTATATTATATCAAATTAATGAAAATTAGGCATTTTAAAATGATTAAGAGAAACATGAAAAACCCAGAAAAAAATGTTAACATGCTGAAATGTCACATGGAAGAACGCAAGTGTGAGACTGAATATCCGTGGAGATCACAGCTGGGGAGAGCCTGGCTGGAAGCTTGCAGGGTTCTCAGAGTGGATCCGCCAGGAGAGCCGACTCCAGGTGTGATTTCTTTGTTCTCATCCTTCCTTCCTCTCAGGTTTTAGAATATGTGATTTTATTACCTTTAGGATAAACTTTCTTCCTGTCCTCTGGAAATCTTTGCCCTGGTTGTGGATACAAAATAGCGGCTTGCTGGCTCGCACCCCACCATGAGACCCCTCTCCAACTTCTTCCCCACCATGCAGAAAGGGCAAGCCTTCTCTCTCTCTCTCTCTCTCTCTCTCTCTCTCTCTCTCTCTCTCTCTCCTTTTAAGTGTGTAATTTTCTCAGTTCCAAACTTGAGGCCATCAGCCCCCAAAGTGAAAACATGGCCCCCTTCGCTCCCCTCCCCAGTCATTCTAAACAACTAGAGAAAGGGCTTCGTGACACCTCAAGAAGGCCCAGGGCCAACTCCCTCCGTGGAGGAAGATGGTGACAATTCTGCACCAGGGTGTCCTTCAGGAGGTGGGGAAGCTGGTCCTCCCGCAGACCCCGGCCCTGCCACGGGGGCTCAGCCTGGAGCTACCCTGTATCTCTGTCATCTGGATTACGGATCAATTCTTTAAATGATTCTAAATATTTTGATCAGTAGAAGCAAAAAAGCAAAAGAGATTTCAACAAGAAGGGGACCATTAAGTCTCAGTACATATCCGCCATGGAACTTGAACCAACTGCACAAAACAACAACTGAATATGAAATACGGTGATGTGGCCACGGGCCTCCGAGGTTAAGTAGATAAAAGCAGGTGATTCCACCATAGGTCCCCATAATGACAACCATATAACAGTGTGTGCAGACTGACCAATAACAGTTAGCATTTATGGGCCACTTACTGCAGCAGGCACTATCCTGGGTGCCTTAGCGCAGGGGAAAATTTCCCAGAAGGGTAAGTATTACAAGTCTGTTGGCCTCTCCTTTGGACAGCAGGAAATGGAGGCTCTAGGAGGGTAAAGAATTTTCTGTATTCCTCCCAATGGCTAAGGTTTGGAACATTCTGGAAACTGTTGCAAGATCACACATGGCCCCCTAAGGAGAGAGAAGGGGCTAGAATTTGGACATCGATTATCTTTCTCCGAAGCTTCCGCTCTCAACACCTAGACTGGAAAGGAATATGTTAGAAAATTAAAATGAAAGCTAAATTTCTGTGAGAAAAGGGACATTTCCCCCTCTCCTTTATTGTCTAAACTTTCTAATGTTCTGTTTTTGCAATTTAAAGCAAAAGAGAGGTGAGGGAGGGAGAGGGGCAACAGAAGAGAGGTTGGTGTGTGTGTTTGTGTGTATGGTTTTTTAAATTATGTTTTGATCAAAAGACTAAATAAATGCCAGTCAAGTCTTCACCAGACTTGGGGGTGAAGGGAGGGATGGAGGGTGGCCACAAGTGAGTCTGTTCCAAACCAAACCAGGCAGCTCCAAGCAGCGACTGCAACTGTCTTTTATATTTGTTTTTTTTAAAAAAACATGCTCTGTCCACCTCCTCATCCGGCTTGAGTATGAATACTAACATCATGGGACTGTACCCACAGAAGGCACAGAATATTCTAGAAGTTACCAATATCACACAGCTGCTATGGACAAAGCTGGGAATGAAACTTAAGTCTGATTCCTCATTTTGCATCTCTTCACAAACCCCTTGTGGGACAGATATGCCCAGCTAGCAAGTGCCAATTTGCATTCACTGGAGTTCAAAACACTCCCTACCCCCAAAGTGGCAATTCCACATACTTACATCAGGTTTAACAATCCTTAAAACTAGGCGAAGATAGAGCTCACACACTCAGTCTGACTCGAAACCCAATTACCAAATGTTACATTTCTCGCAGTTTTGAAGCCATGCTAGTTATGGGAAAACATTGAAATAGAGATAATACTTTTCAAAAGCAACGGTGGGGAAAAAAAAAAAAATATATATATATATATATATTAGGTCCTGCGATTCATTCAGAAAAAAATCACAAGCAATCAACAAAGTGAAATATTCTCCCCCAAAACACTGGCCCGGTTTTTCCTCTCTAAAACTTCTCTGAAGAACAGGAGCAGGCATGGGGGACACCAGGCCCCTTTGCCAGGGGAGGATCCAGTCTCCAGGCACATCCCAAGCACAGCCCTAGGCTCCCAGGGGTGGCCTCCAAACCCAGGGCTCTTCCTTTGAGTCAGACAGGGCCTCAAGTCCCAGGAACAGCGACACTAAAAGTTCACTTTATTATTCTGTCCTTGGCCACTTCCTCAGCTGGCTCCCAGACAGACGGCAAGTTCAGAACCAGAACACGCAGTTCTCCTGTCAGAGGCCACATGGTCTGGTTCCTGAAGCCCAGGAAAAGAGCCAAGAACCACTGTCCACTTGGCAGTCCCAGGGCATCCCCCTCCAACAATCCTGTTGGGCACAGAGCATGACCACTGACACCCTGAGCCTCTAAACCCAGACCCCCGTGCCACCTGCCTCTTTTCTTATAGATTATCCCGACTCAAATCACACACGTTCCAGGAGCACAAGGTAAGGAAGAGGCTGGATTAGGAGGTGGGGCCAGGAGGGTCACAAGGACCACCAGAGCCTGGCGGTGCCCATTGGAAGGTGATGCCCCTGTGAAGGCCCAGGATATATACCCATAGGCAGAGAGAAGGGACGAGGGGGCAAATGACTCCCGAGTCAGTACCCACTCCACGCTGGACACTGCATGATGTCACACTACCTGGACTTGTCAAGAAAACTGTACCATGTCCTGTGGCCAAGGAGGTGGCAGCATGGAAAGCCCTGGCTCTGAGGCCAGAGCTGCAACTTCCAGCTCTGAGACCCAGAAGCTACATGAACCCCAGGATTCTCAGAGGGCTGGCACGTAAAGTGAAGGGGACAGCAGAGTTGGGGCCCCACCTCCTCATTCAGAGCCTCCTCTGCTCTCCCGAGTCGAGGCTCCACCACCATCAAGATCCCTGTTTCTGCACAAACCATGCTGCTCACATGAGACACACAGGGACACACAGGGACACAGAGACACACAGGGACACACAGGGCAGGTCCGGGCAGGACAACCAGCCAGAGCCCTGACCCCACCAGGCTGCAGCAAACAGGGTGCAGGGTGGAAGCCGGATCAGGGGCTCCTCCCCCGCAGGCCTCAGAGTTCACCCACCCCACCCCCACCCACAGCCAAGGGCAGGGCCACTCACGGCACTCCTTCTCGTCACTCTTGTCGAAGCAGTCGGGCAGCCCGTCGCACTGCCAGGCGCCCGGGATGCACCGCCCGTTGCCGCACATGAAGTTGCCTGGAATGTTGCACTCATTGGTGAAGTTGTTCCCGGGAAGCAGCTGGCTCTCTGTGGGAGAGAGGGGACAGGGGTCAGAGGGCACAGCAGCCATAGCAGCAAGGGCCTGAGCCCCCTCCCAGCTGAAACTGCCCAGGTGAGGCCTCCAGGAGATGTCTTTGCCCCCCTGGGCCTCGGTTTCCTTGCCTGTGATCTGCCCCAGCCACCGCCGAGGACCTTGGAAGGGTTACATGGAAAAATCTGGGGAAAGCATTTGGGTGTATGGCCACAAAATCAGTGCTTCCTGACTTCTTTCTTTCTAAACATCCAAAAGATTGGTTGGAAACCCGAATGTTCTTTCCTAGCCAGCAGCAGCGGCGACAATTAAAGTCCCAGATAGGAGTGCACTGGACTCCCCGAATCTCCAAGGGCAGGAAGTGCACGATCCTTCCAGGCGCAGAGCCCTTGAACTTGGGCCAAGCTGGCAGGAATACCAAGGCTCGGCTTCACTCTAGGAAACAAGATGCTCAGATCTGCACCCCAACCTGCCTGAGGTCTATTGGGGAGGACAGACCAAGGTGGAACTTGAACTCAGGCCTTCTAACCCCCCAAGAGGCTACGCAGGTCGCTACACTGGCTGCCAAGAGTTACCGGAGATTCAGAACCGAGCCCCAGAGTTCAGGTTCAACGCCACTGAATAGAGTCATAGAGTGCCAAGGCCTCCACCCGACACCACCCTCAGGCAAGAAAACAAACAGAGAGAGTGTTTCCATGGCAGTGGGGCATGGACCTCATCTGACACTGAACCCTCATCTGACAGGATAACCCTGGGGGCCAGGATCCGATGGGTCGGATCAGTCTGAGCCGGTGTGATCAATGGCGGAAGGATAAGGAGCCATCTGGAAGTGAGACAGTCTTGGGGAGAAAGGAGGGAAAAAAATGGCCATTCCCTCAGCTCTCCTGAAGCTCCAGGGCTCCCTCCTGAGTCATTCAGTAAGCACTTACTGGACACACTGGCCAGGACGTGTGCTATGTCCCCAAGACAAAGGCGCCAGGCTGGGATCCTCTCGTCAGCTGGACAGGCAGAGAGGCACACAAAGGGTTTTACTCCTGTAAAGGCCTCTACCTTTCTAGGTGCTGGGGTCTTACCTGGAATGCCCCCTGCCCACTGGGTCTCCTGCTAAGTCCCCTCACACCCTTCAGCAGGCACCTCCTGGGCAACCTTCCTCCTGAAGTGTCCCTGGCTTCTCCAACCACAGATAAGCGCTTCCCCGGTCGACTGCTGATGCTGCTTGTGGGGTGAGACTAAGAATATTTTATAACAGGAACAAGCAGACATGACCAACTGGAAAGGACACCACCACGGGCTGGCAGCACCATGTCAGCTCTGGCTCGAGGGCTGGACATTCCCTCAGAGACCATCTGCCACACGGAGCCAATACTACACATCCCGTCTCCCTACTGAGAGCTCCAGAAGAGAGGCTAGGGCGGGGGCTCCGCTCTGCCCAACGACCCACATCAGACTCAGAAATCTCATTTGTCCCTTCCTCACCGCTCTGCCCGATCACAGAGCTGCCGTCGCCACAGCGGCCACTCCAGCCCAAGCAGCCACCTTCTCTTCCTGAAATTTCTGCCTACCTCAACCTCAGGTCTCCTGCCTCCTATCTCGCCTCTCTCCAATCCAGTCACCTTCCTGTGTCCAGAAAGATCTTTCTACACAGCAAATGGAACATGTCACTTCTTTACCATAAAAGCCACTGAATGACTCCCCAGTTTCCTTAGTCAAAATTCAAGGGAATCAAAAAAGATTCCAGCAAAGAGATGACATTTATGGTGGCTGCTAATGGGTACACAGACATTAAAAATAAGAGCTCTTTAGGCCTAGAGAAAAGCAGCAGCAAAGACAGAGTGTGGGAAGGGTCAGCCCAGGGCACAGAAGGGTCTGGAATAAAAAATTCACACAGCTCTGTTGGGAATTGCCAATGTATTTGTGCTACTATTTCTCTTATTCTACCACCCAATCAGACATCACTAATCAATCCCCACACCCTGTCCCATCGAGCCCAGGCTCAACATTAGAGTCCCTCTGAAAACAACTCCAGAAACTCATCATCAACCCCAAGAAGAGCAGGAAAGCAGGTCACTCTCAGGGGGTGTGATGGGGAGGAAACTAGAGGGGCATCCAGCTGCTGGATCCCTGCCCAACACCACAGGCTCAAACCAGAAACGCCACACATCCAGCTGTTTCCTAACTCCTGCTCCAGGCTTCACAGCAAGCAGAGCGCTCTGCGGAGCTCCGGAATGCAGAACCGTCTTTCTGTTTTGTTTGGAATTCACTTAAACTTGCTTTTGTAGCGCTCACCCCTCCTCGAAGGCAAGCCCCCTCCCTGGAAAAGTCACGACAACTGTGAAATCTTGTTCTGATAAACAGATTTCCGGAACCAGAAAATTGGCCAGATTAGATTCCACGGTGCTTGCAATACGAGTCAATAAATCTGGCAGCACATGGACTTGACAAATGAATGGGTGGATGCAGAGACTAAATACCACATCCATTATCCACAGGTGGCCCTGCCAGCCGCAGGCTCCCAGGCCTGGTGAAGGTAAGAGAGAGCCCACATCTCTGTGCTCTTCTGGGCAGCTCCATGCATGGGGACACACAGCCGGTGCTTTAGAGAAGTGACAGCCTCAAATTTGACATAAGGGGAAATCAAGGAAAAAAGACGTCAACCCCTGCTGATTCTTCAAAAGCTTCCTCAAACCCACCCAATCTGCTCACGGAACTGGCACCGCCCAAAGTAAGCCATTACCGTCTCTTGACCCGTTTCAACCAGTGGTTCCAGATAAGGGTCAATTGTGACCCCCCAGGGAACAAATGTCAGTGTCTAAAGATGGTTTGGGGTTGTCAGGACTAGGAATGGGGGCAGTTAGCATTCAGCAGGTAAAGACCAGGAGTGTTGCTAAGCCTCCTGGGGTGCCCAGGGCAGCTCCCCACAGCAGAATCTCCAGCCAGAAATGCCAATCATGCCGAGGCAGAGAAACCCTGGTTTAAGCCGATCTGCCAAATGCCACTTCTCATGCCCTCCAGTTCCTTCTCTTCACACAGAGTGAGGTTTTAAATGCAGCTGGTGATTTCTCTGGCTTTAGGATGAATCCGAAATTCCTGCCAGGTTTACAAAGCCCAGCAAGACGCCACCCCTGCCTACTCCTGGACCTTCCTTTCGAACCCTTCCCTCGATCACACCAACGTCTTCTCTGCTGAGAGGCCTCCCATCTGCTGGCTGCTGACCCCCGAGACACTTCGGTCCCCCTTTTGCCTGGTATTAGGGGCTAAATTTTGTCCCCCAAAATGTATATACTGAAGTCCTAAACCCTAATACCCCAGGGTAACTGTATTTAAAGGCAGGGTCTTTAAACAGGTAATAGAACTAAAATGAGGTCATTAAAGTGGATCCTAACTCAATATGACCAGCATCCTTATGGGAAGCGATTAGGACAGGAACAGGCACAGAGAGAATCCGTGAGGGCACAGGGAGAAGAGGGCCAGCCAAGGAGGGAGGCCTCAGAAGAAACCCACCCTGCTGCCAGCCCCTTGACCTCAGGCTTCCAGCCTCCAGAACCGAGAGTCAATGGACTCCTGTTGTTTAAGCTCCTCTGTATCATGGCAGCTCCTGCAGCCCAATCCAAGCTGTTCACCCTCAGACCTCAGCCGAAGTCACAAGTCAAGAGGTTCCACAAAATGAAGCTGGCCCCCTGCTTTTCCCTCTGGTCTTGTTCTGAGTTCTCCCAACCTTGTGGGTGCATTTCCACTAACCCCCTCAACCAGACAAACGCCCCCTGTAGGCAGAGAGGCGCCACATCACTCAGCCCCTCAGCCCAGGCAGTGCCACTGTACAGGACGCCACTGAATATCTGTAACCACCCTAAGAAAACCAAGCATGGTATCACTACCTCCTTCCCCATCTCCCACACTCTTCCTTGCAAATGTCCACGCCCCCCTTGCACCATTTCCCCAGTATGCGAGTGGGATCTGTACACAGATAGTTAAAACAGGAGACATGGGCATGTCTAGACTTACACCAGTAAATCTCTACCCTGTCCGCTTTAAAAGAGGCTAGAAATCTTTTCAGGCCGACTCAGGACTTTCTAGTGGCTGAAATATTTATCCCATCTCAGTATCTGGGGACGCATTTAGAATCCAAAAAAGACAAGCATTAGCACGGAGCTGGCTAGTGGGGTTTCTCCTCCTCCCTTTTCTTTTTTTTTCATTAAGCTGAAAAATGAAAAAGAGTTGCCCATTTTCACTGCAGCACATCACTTACTTAAAATAACTACCCCATCTATAGCAAGAATGAGGAAAAAAGGAAATCCAAGTCCTCCCCCATTGGGCTACGGCAGCTTCTTCCACAAATTTATACTTGACGAGGGGCCCAGGCTGGGGCACCTACACAAACCCCAACAGCTGCTGCATTCCACCAGAATCATTCCAGAACCCGCAGTGAGTGATGTTAACTTTTCCAGCTGAGAAATGGGAGCTCTACTCCACCAGCTGGATCCTCTGGATTCTCTCCTCTCCCTCTGCTCATCTTCTCTCCCTCGGGGTACCCCCGTCACGGTGCAATTCAGAACTGACATCTGCAAACCATCCGCAGGCCCCGATTTCAGCTTTCTGCTCCATCCATTGCATCCCCATGGTCTGCGCTTGTAGCCTCAACCAACAACAAAGCAAGACACGAAAACATACATGTGTACAGACGCACACGCGGCTTAGCATTCAATTTTGCAGATCTCTAACAGATCTTCCCTAAAACCTCCCCAGAGAATTAACAACCTCTTCCAACTGCCTGGTGCCAACAAACACAGTGTTATGAGACCACCGAAAGAAACCGTCTGTTTTCCCTGGGACTTGCATCTTGAAACATATGCGCACATGTGTACACACACATTCACACACACATCCACACACACATCCACACGTGGGCACAGGTAAAGCCACCAAGGGAGCTGGTCTGGGATGATTTGTCTATAAACAGTGAACGTCCCTAGAAAATCCCGAAGGCCTCTTTGACTCC